TTTTGGCCTTTCCGCCATCGTTTTGTGATTTTAATCCGATGAAACAGCTTCAATGGTTCAATGTTTATGGCTTTAATCGGTGCTATTACTGTGCGTGATATCCATTAATGTCGAAAAACTGGCTAAAATGATCACTTTTTCAAATTTCAATGGCTGAATTGATCATTTTTCAAATCGAGTAGGATTCTTCCCTTCAAATTCCTCAGTCATAAGCTTTCAAATAGGAGGAGATCGGAGAAGAAAAGAGCGGAGAGAATCTTTCTCTTATTTCAATTTGTCAATCTTCAATTATATGTGTATTAATTCAACAATTAAATTTGATTTTTGAGCATTTAGTCAATTTTTTTTATGATTTTGTTCGTTTAATTGGAATATTAGGGAAATTTATAATGGCAACTAAGAAGACATGTCACATTATTAAAATTTAAAGAATGAATTGTTGTATTTGTAAGTATGATCTGAAAAAGAGCAAAAGCCATGGTTACTGCTGCCTAATGTTTTAAATGGTTGAACTTTTCTGACTGCTATGGGTAATGGTAATGGCAGTGCTGCTGACGACCATTGAGGCAGTGGGCAGCTAGCTGCATGGCTAGGTTCTCAAGAACAAGACCACTCGACCGACGTGTGCATGTCACAGCACTGGCATAATTAGTTAAGAGTAATAGTAATGTAGTTTGTGTAAATTCTTTGTGTATTATATTTTGTAATTTAGTTAAGTCCATGAGATATCAACTTTATCGTTGTATCGATGTAATTGTGTTTTGTCCGTGAGATATCAACTTTATCGTTGTTTAATGCGCAAGAATCAATTGCACGACTTTTAGGATTTCGTGACATGCAATGTAGATGGTATTGATTAAACATATATGATGTAGATTAAGCTGTTAATCAGATTGATATCTTATTAAGACATTCGGAGGCCATGGGCTCCTTAAAGTGTTTGGCTTCGTCTTTCCATGCTCGTTGGGCCTTGAATTTCCTTTGGATTTGTGTTCATTCGTAATTGTCGGGATCAGGAAGAATCATGCATTAACAAGGATTTGTAATTAAGTGCGTTGTATAATAGTGTTACACACAAAATCAAGATTCAAATACTAAGAAAATGAAGCTCATCTTCTTATTCTCTGCTAATAATTTTCTGATTAATTTTGAAGAAATAATAACTAGAAAATGGCAGAGAAAAAAGTGAATAAAATTGAAAATGAAGCCGGCTATTTATCCCTCAGTGTTTTATTTTTCCCCCGGTAATCACGATCAAGCAGAAAATGACAGAGAGAAACGTTTCTAAGAAAACCTAGAAAAACAGGAGAGAATATGAAGGCATATATATATTGTCGTCTTGTATGGATGGTATCGATAATCGAGTAGAACGAAAACATGTAGGAAAAGTTTGCATTAAAAAATGGTGAACAACGTGACAGGAATCAAATAAAATAGCTTAGCTGCCTCTTTCGCTTGCAACTTGCACTTTTTGATAGCTTTCGCTAGCTGTTCTTCCAAAGAAAAGAAAAGGAAGGCCGGATACATGCTAAGCAGTTGCATGCAACTTGCTCTCTCTCTCTCTCTCTCTCATTGTCATGATTTTCGTGTTAAAGAAATGCAAGTTGGGGGGTGTTGGTCGATGGATCGGTGGCTGAAATGTGAATGGTTGAGTTTTGAATATGTTTGAATAGAGACTATTATGTCTAATCTGATTTGCAAGTTGGTAAGCAAGTGGGACGGAAGACAAGGCTCTCTCTCTCTCTCTCTCTCTCTCTCTCTCTCTCGGGTATTCTTGTCAACTTTTCCAATTCCTTCACGCTACCCATGTATGAGCCGGTATATGACCCATTCCATCCGTCTGCTCTAACTCTTCGTATATACACGAGGGAGGAGAATTTTCTCTCCTTTCTTTTTTCTTTCCTCTTTCATCATCTTCTATTTGAACGGTAATGGTTAAGTCATATTAATATCTTATATTAATTTTTTATAGAAAGAGAAAAAATTAATAGAGAATATGAGAGAAGAGAATGTAAGGGGATGGAAAGAAGAAGGAAGAGAATCTTAGTCTATATATGAGAAGGATGCTTCCCTTTCTTTCGGACTGGTGCATCGAGGGAATCGTACGGTTCAAATCTTCTACACTTATTTTGTGTATAGTTTTGTGTAGCTTATATTATTAATTAACATGTGTTAAGTTTATGATAATAAAAGTAAAAAGAATTAATATATATTAGTCAATAATAAATGCCAGATATTAACTACACACAAAATAAGGGCACATCTTTGAACTTCATCTTGTCGTATGGTTTCTTCGCCTTTTTGCATGGAAATTATTGACTAGGTAGAGAGATCACATCATCACTCGATCATGACCTAGCAGGCTAGCAGCAGCTGCTTCCTTGAAAAACTCATGATGTAACACGCATGCCACAATTATTTTGCTTGAAGCAAATAGGAGTAATGATATTTGTGTCACATTTTCGGACTATTTTAAATGATATTTGGTATAGATAGTTACATTATTTAAATTAATTAAATTTTTAAATTTAGTTCATTATTTAATAAATTAATAATTAAAAAAAATTAGTTAATTAAATGATGATTATGGTATACGAGGAGTTTTTTTTCTTCTTTTTCTTAGCTTTTACAAATTTTTCAAATGATATAACTGTTCACATTAAATACCACGTAAAATGATATAGAAATATAATATAAAAATATGATATGAATAACATTACTCAGGAAATAGTACAAAAAGGATTGCCTTCCTTTTCCGTGTTATGATGGTGTTTATTTGGGTCATTGAACGATCACTACGTAACGCGCTGTTTCCCGTCTTGTCTTGAAACAAATTAGGACATCTTGAGTGGGAGATAATCTCAGTAGATAACCTGCTTTTTGAACGTTTATGAATCCCCTAACACAACAATAATATGTCTTATTTTTAGAATATATTAATAAAGAAGGCCAACATAATTCTATAATATTTTGAAGTATAGTGTTTTATGAACACTAAAAATCTCATGAAATAAAGTTAAAGCAAACTGAATTTACCACTATGGGTTCGGCAAAAGAACATTGACTTGTCAATATTTCAGAGAAACATGTTAACGGTCTGCAACTAACAACATTGATATTGTTCATCCAAAGTACATCTTACAGCTTATACAACGTGACATGTATGAGGGTTTTGGACAAAAGTCATCGGTGTAATTAGTACTAGAACTACACAATACAATGCATAGTCCCCCTTAAGATTACACCACTTTGTCCATCCATATCAATTAATGCATTTTTATTATACAAATTACATAATTTAAATTGTTTATTTTTTTTATCATCACTTGAAGATCATACGTGTAAAAAAAAATTAATTAAATTAAAAATTGTTTAGTAATCTTTATTTATTAAATAAAGGGGCGTTTAGATTTAAATGCCTCGATGTTCTATTTCTTAGATTAAACATCTATACCTTTTAGAATTTTTATTAAACATGTTCCTACATTTTAGGTGTCAAATATATTATAAGTATCATTTTTTTAAAAGGAAAATTAACGAAAAGTCTTCAAAAACTTTCGTTTTAATGAAAATAACAAAATAAAGATGTAAGTGAATAGTATCATGAGTGACTTTTCAAGGTAAAAATGTCTTTAACGTTAAAAGTGAACAGTACCATAAGTGTTTCATTAAAATTCTTTTTTTTTTTAATGCAAAATTACACAATTTGCCATATATATAATGTACCAATTAGTTAATAATTATCCAAATCTCCTAGAGTCTAGTAGACACTAGAGATAGTGCCCATGCGTTGTTGCGGGATTACAAAACGGATATTAAGAATGATGAAGTTTGAATCAAAGGTGTATAACGGCTTGTGAAACTGATGGCATTCAAACAAAACTCTGAATAAAAGTAAAGGAATAGGGAAAAAAAAAATATGGCACATACCATTTGTTTGGTGTTAACCAAAGTCATTTAAGAATGTCCATTAAATTGTAAACGACAATAGAAATTGAGGATCATAAAGAATTAGACAAAATCACATATTTGAAATGAAAAATTAAAGCTGCCCAAATACCAAACTATTCATTAAAAAGACTGAAAATTTAATATTAGATGAGTACATCAGTGAGTTTTGTAAAATGAAAGCAAAAAAACTTTTTGTTACGTCAAAATTTGATGTCATTGAATCAAACTGAAAGTATAGTAATGTTACTAGATTTTTTACTTCAAAATTTGATGTAATTGTTTAGGAAACAACTTTTATATGCATGAACTTCATCCTATTACCAAATGGTTATTGGAAATGGTTTGAGTTATAAAACCTGACTCTTATCAGTAGTTAGGATCAAATGCTAGGTAAGAAATTCTTCAAATCAAAGCAAAAGAACTAAATGGCTGAACGGGTTATATACCTTCAATAAACATTGATCGTTCTTGAAAGTGAAGAAGAACGAAACCAAACAGCGATATGAAGAATCTAATTACAGAGACAAAATTTGTAGGATGAAAAAAGAGAATTTAAACGTAATGTGTAAATGAAAAATCTAAAAATGAAAAACAATAAAAAGAAAATGAGAAAGATCAAGAAAAGAGACCTTACCATAGTTTAGACGAACGTTACTTCAAAACAACTGCAGGGGGAAAGTATACTTAACATCATGCTGAGAAGATGTAGAAATGACATGACAAAACATCAACAACATCAAAAATAGGGAGCTCACAAAAGGGTTATAAAGAAAATGTTTAATTTGTACAATGCAGATACAAAAGGTTAAAAGTTATTTATTTACATACAAACAAAAAATATTACAGACATGTGTTCGATTTTAGCACTTGGAATCACCTTTCAAGTGCAACCAACATTTGGATACAAAAAATTGGCAAGTGCTGGTCTATGTACAGGCAAAATATATTTACATCGCAACCAAATAAGATAAATATTGTTTGATGCATATTAACAAAAAACCATCAGAATTTTTGGGCATTGCGGCCAACTTATGCTATTGCACTGTCCTTTTTGAAAAACCAACCTAGTGAAACGAAAGAAATTAAAAGGGTAAGATCGTTATTAAATATCTTGTCTAAAAAAAGAAAAAAAAGGCAACTTTAAAATATAGTGACCTAGCTTCTTTTTGGAGGAGTGGAGTTCAACTTTTCACCAGTCGGGGATGACTTCTTCTTAAGCAATTTGATTGGCACTTCATCCAATTCTCTTGGATCTATGTCTGAAATTTCCTCGGCTCTACTATTTTAAATGGGTTTTCCCAATGTTAAATAGTATGAATATATGGAAATTTAAAATTTATAGTTGCAAAAGTTGTTAGGGCACAAACCTTTGTTTGTCGGTGGTAAAAAGAGCTCTCCTAATTGATTCCCTCTTCCGTTAATATGATTGCTCAGTGGTTTCAGCTGTTGAAGTAGAAGATGAAACAATGGTGGAGGACACTGTGAGTTCTGTTGACAAAGGTTGCGGAGTTACTAGCTGCATAGTCGTATCCTCAGTCACATTATGAATGAGTACATCGTTCGTATGAAAAGTATTCCTCCTGTTGCCAAATCGTAAGTGAAAAACCTTCTTTTGTCCAATAAGCCTGAGAAACTCGTTTGGTAATAGTTGCTGGTCCACCAGTCTCTTATTCATTACCAGGTCTTTGCAAGGCATGCCAAAAAGTTTCTCGCCGCATTTACCGATTATCAAAGCATTCATTTCATTTGTTTCATCTTCGAGAATGAGATTAACTTTGTACCTACATTTAGAAACTCAACCTTATGATAGTTTTTGAGAATCACAAATTGCCACAAACTTAATACCTAAATAAGTAGAACTAAAACAAATCACACATAGGTAGTAACTTCATTGAATTATACAATGATCATATGTAACCAAATATAACAAAAAAGTAAAAGGAAAACGAAAGAAAAGGGAAAAAGAAAGTTTTGCCACAGCAGGAAATTTTTTTTATAAGATTTAGGTTTATATGATGTAAATGAGACAAAAACACAAAGCAAAGAGAAAAGAATGGTAACAAAAATAATTTTTCAAAGAACATCATGTTTAGGAACCATTCTGGACATCCATCGCAAAAACACTTCACAATCGAAAATTTTAAATTTTTTAAAGTGTGACTGCATAAAAAATGAAACTAAATTTGTATACTCCGTACTCAATGTCATTAGCCTTCTCTGTATCTATTTATTCCAATTGGCTAACAACAACAAACCACAAGATACCCAGAAAGAGCCAATTTTTTTATTAGGTTTGCTTTAAACATTCGATTTATCATTACCAAGGCGTTGGAATCTGGTTGGGATGTTTTTGGCAAATAAGCTGGCCACTGGTTACATCGTTGTGCATCTATTTTACATAGTGCGGGCAAGCATTGTATCACCAAACAAAGCGCGTGTCAAAGCGCTTAATAGATGCTTTGCACAGAAATGTGTCGTCCTGTAACATATTTTGTCACTTATTTGTAAAAGCCAGAATGAAAACACAATTAGTTCTGTTGAAAATGTTAAAATTGAATTGTCTAGTTTTAATACCTTGTGCATGACACATCCCGACCCGGAATGTCCACTAGGACCCCAAATCGAGCTGTGTTGGCCGACATTTGTAAGGTGACGAAGCCATACAGTGTGATAGTGTATAAAAAGTGAATAAATTTGAATCTAAAAGTGTCTAAATACCAGAGTGCGCTACGAGTGGGAGCGAACCCATTTTAACACGATGTTAGAGCATAAGTAAGGTACAGTAGTGTGGGTAAGAATCATACCCTTAAAAGTAGCCACCAATGCTAAGATTAGCTATATATCCTCGTCGATACGAACTCGGCAGTTAAAACCTGAAGGGATACAAAACAGAAAGTGTGAGTAAGTAGTAAAACCAAGCTTCCCAAAACTATTACCTTTCTAACAGTAATAACCCCTCACTGTAATTCCCTTATCCTTTTCTATAGGACAGTACAACATATATACATGTCCCCAAACCATACTCAGAAATGACCAAAACCACGGTATGCCATCAACTCCATCATACATTAATAAGTAGGCCAAATGAACTTAATCAATACAAAATGATATCAGTCAGAGTCATCTAAAATGATATGTACAACTTATCCATATCTCATCAATCATGGCTAGTATATAAGTCGGAGTCACCTCTTGTGACCTGTACGACTTATCCATATCTCATCAATCATGGCTAGCTAATAGCTCAATAAGTATACATGCACACGAGTCGGAACTACCTAAAATGGTCTGTACGACAGGGCTGGGTGTAAATAAATACGCTCAAGTGCTACGATCACGTGAAGACTATGCGAATAATCGCGGGTCACCTACGAGTCGGAACCACCTAAAGTGGTCTATACGACAAGACTGTGCACCTACCTTGGATCCAAGGTGAGCGTAAGGTGCGGAAGGTGAACATCACGTGAAGGACTGCGCCCAGGCCACGGGCGGGAGCACTAACACCGGGATGAAGGTTTATGAGCTCTCAATGCATCTCAATATAACATGTGCAACTCATGGCAACCAGTACAATAGTATCGAAGTTGCCTAACACATAACTGTAGTCATGCTATAACGCAATCGATTCAACTAATACCATAAACTCACCTGAACTTACCTGGGTATTCTGCGTTCACCTTTGCACTTGAAAGCATTCCCAATAATTATATGCAAGTAATATACATATGGATATACCATGATGCAATCTAATACTCAACCATGTCGTAGCATTTTCAATTATAAACAATACGGTGTGAAGTGTACAATCAATAACACCCTACTCCCGAACTACTTATTTTTAGGGATAATTATCCATGACAACCCAATTAACACTAATTTAACTTACTAAATCACAAAACGAAAACTTGCCTTTACCAATTTCCTTCGCATTACTCAATTTCTCAAATAAGGCTTTTGTCTCAAATATATTATGGCTGCATTTAACGTCTCGTTAGACTGCCTACGTACCCTAAACAGGGATCAAACCATTCGTAGTTCATATAGGTACTTCAAGCATTCACAATAATTATATGAAGGTAATATACCTAATCAATTTAAAAGTGTCGATAGAACTCTCAATAATATGTACGATAAAAAGGAAAAGATCCACTCACCTGGAGTCCACGCTATGATTCTCTAGTGCACGCATCGAGACGTCCTGATTGATTGGTCCTTGTGACTAATTATCAAATCACATCTCAGAACTCTTATCCGTAGAATACGTAATTCACATAAAACACAACCTCAACGGCATTCTAAAATAATTTGAGACCCATTGACCACAAGTCAATAGTCGATCAAAGATCGACAGTAGGGTCTACAACCCTTTATAACTTGACCCGGAAGATCCGCATATCAGATTTCCAATCTGCAACTCCCAACGATCCACAATATGTTTCTAGAATAGCATATTAAAATTTCATTACGATCCAACGGTCAGATCTCCGCCAATTGCCTAAAACAAGTGGCCGTGAACATTTATTTTACTAACTTACAAATCCAATTCAGGAAGATTCGTAAGTCGGATTCCCGATCCATAAATTCCTATTATCTTTAAATATTACGTATTATAATGTATCCAATTTTGGTGACGATCCAACGGTCAGATCGTCGATTCACATTTTTATCAAGTAACGTATCGTAAGGAATTTAGGTTCCAACGATCAACCTACATCATTCAAATGACAAAACTGAATTCAAGACATTCGACATAGCCTAAAAATAGCATTGGCGGCTCACTGGCCACGCGCCGCTACATGCGCCGCCCCAGAAAATTCAACTATTTCCAAAAATTCTCAAACTTCACAGAAATGAAGATCTCAGTGAGTGGAGCAACTTTCATACCTGCCACGAAGTCCAAAAGTGGACGGAAGATGGTCAATTTTGCCCACAAAGCCGGCGGGTGCCTAAAACTTCCCGGTGTCAATTCGTCTTCTACAGTGGTCCAACGGGGGCAAGGTTAGTTGGGTTTTACTCCTGGGATGATGGGCTACAAAGCCCAAGTGGTGGCATCGGCCATCACTTTGCCGATTCACCGGAAAATCAAAAAGAGTGGCTGGAGCACCGTTGATTTTCGTCTACTTTCGTGGCCTCAAACCGCCACGTACCATGGTTAATCAAGGTGGTTCTTGGGTGGGTTTTGTAAAGGGGAATGAGAGCTTCAAGATGGTGGTGGTGGCGTCGAAAAAATCCACCCGAATTGGCCGAAATCAACCTTGGAAAATAGGTGGTCGCGAGTGGATAAACCCACGGGAAAGCTGGGAGCTTTTCTTTTTTTCTTTTTTCTTTTTTTTTCTCTTCTTCTTTTCTTTTCTTCTTTCTATTTCTGATTGGGTCTCACCCTCTCCCTCTAATTTAATTGGTTCCTTCTTATTTGTGCCTAAAATCAGATTGGCCACTTTCACACAAGATGAGAATTCAAATAATTTATAACTAAACTTTAAATAGCCATTTTCAAACGTCCATAACTATACTGTTATAATCCGGACTCGCAAACGGCTTTCGTCTATGCGTTCACATCCACGAGTACTACGAGAATATGTTAAAAGAATAAGTCATACGTCTCTCTAGACGATGGTTAACATAAGTCAAAATCTTTGCCTCTATGGAATTTTCGTAAATTCACACTTTTAAAATAACATAAAAACGTAAAATTTGGAACGGGTTGTCGCAGTGCAAGTCCAAATCCAAAAACGCTAATTCATCAATCGTAACCCTTTTAGCAGTCTGCAAAATTTCAGCTTCGTTTGCTTGTTTCAAAGAGAGAGGGAGCATTTTCAAATGTTCTGTATAATCAGAAAACCTACAAGCATCAAAACATTTTATGAGTTTAACAATTTAAGAAAAAAAAAAAAACACAAACCATACTCCACCAAAAAGAATTAATAGAGTCTTATTTTGTTTTGACAATGAGAAATACACTCACACTGACTTATATGCATTGACTTCGAGGATGTCTGAATCAATCAAAAAAAGGGATGAACCAGTACTATTTAAAGCAATCTTATCTGCACATTGGAATCACAGCACCAAAAAAAAAAAAAAAAAAAAATATATATATATATTAATAAAGGTGGCTCATCACATTTTGTGACAAAAACTACATAATGGAGATAATGTACAATACGTAGATACCCAACTGTTTAAAAAGTTTTCATAAAATCATGGGACAATCAGCTGTATGATGTGGTGCATTCCAAACCAACTAAGTCATTCATAACACAATATTTATCATTTTCTAACTGTTAATGAAACACCGATGCTCATATCTACTTAACGGACATGGTTGAATAAAAAAGAAAACAAAGTAAGAAAGAGATCAGTAGCAATCATTAATGACTGATATATTAAGATGTTTCTAAACTAATTGACGACAATGAAGAAAAACATATAATGACAAATCGGAGCAAAGACGGATAATAAAAGTGCAAAACGAACTGGCAAAGAAAACGCGTCCATTGACAAAGAAGAAAAGGCTTCTCCAATGTCCCCCCACAATGTAACCATCACTTCCTCTTTCCTATTGACAAAGGGAACAACGAATAAACTTATCACTTTTTTTTTAATGCAAAAAATTAACAAATATTGAAAAAATATGTGACGAACAACCATATGAAACAAAATATAACCTTATATTCTCGATACGGACATCACACTTGTATACAATCCTCTGATTAATCTATTTGGATTCAAGAGGTTGTACATCGTTTATACGTCAAATGACATCTTATAATTTAAAACATAAACAAAGTTAAAGAGCAATTTGGAAAACAAATGCAAACACGCTTGAACCCATGCACATCCACATATAGATTAAAAGTACCTGTGAGAATGTCAACACTGTTCAAGCGAGGGTACAGTGTGTTATAATCTTGCAGAAAAAATTGATGGCGAGGGATAGGCGGGAAGACGCTTGCTAATTTTCGAAACACTGTTTTCGAGTTGAACAAAATCAAGGTTTCATGCGGTACTACCTTGTATTGTGCCCTAATTTTAACAGTCCGAAAATCCATGATTTCATAACATCCACCGGCTTCAATTTTGGAGGCCATAACATCGTGATCACCATCTGATGTACAGCCCTCCACCGCATGTTGCTTCACATTGCATTAATCAAATTATTACCATAAAATAAACACAACAAATCAAAACAGTTAAATAATTTGAGGCAAGATGTAAAAAACAAAAAATAAAATAAAATCTATGGGGGCACAAAAATTTGAGATAGAAAACACCACGCATCCAACATAACCAAAGAAGCCGAAAAATTGAAAAAAAAATAAATAAATAAATAAAAAATCTATGGGGGCACAAAAATTTGAGATAGAAAACACCATGCATCCAACATAACCAAAGAAGCCAAAAAATTGAGAAAAAAAACACGAAGACATGAAACAGATGGTTGACACATACATTTCGCTAACCATAAGACAACTAATTTTAAACATTCGACATGAACATTATTTACTCAATTAATTGTCATTGCCTCTACTTTTGATTAAACTAATCAAACAATGATTCCTCACCGCTTCATCGACGAACACACAGTGCAGGGCAGTGTACTTCTGAATAGTTCCTGGGATGATGGATTTCCAAATTCTGCATATCCGAACTTTGATTTTGTCAGCCTTCGTGTATGGTATTAACTGATTAACAGGAGTTGGGCAAATGTTTTCCATTTATCCTATGAAGAGGAAATTGCAGCGACACATTAAAAATTCCCACAAACCCACAAAAAGAAAAAACAATAAAAATTATAAATTATGTGCAATCAACATCCATGCTGTGAAATAAAGAGACAAAGAGTTGATCACATAACCAAAACGGCTATCATGAGGCCAAAAAAAGGGAAATTTTCAAACAAAAGATGTAAAAAAAATAAAAAAAATAAAAAAATAAAAAAATAAAAAAGGGAAAAATTCAAATGGTAGAGATCCTCGACATCTGTATCAAAATGTTATATTTATTAACCAAATTATTAATACAATTCTTGCATCTTAATATGTATCTAAATATCTCCACCTTCATTTAGCGAAAGTGATGTTAGCGGTGGTGTTGTAGAGGGGACGAAGAACAAAGAAAAATCAAAACAGAAAAATAGACAACTAATTCATCAACCAATACCAACTCCATCATGCGAAAAAAACCCAAAGTCTCAAAAACTACAGACCCATAACAGTTTCATCAAGTGACTAACCTCAAATGCTCACCTGCAACGACACTTCTTACACCCTCTGTCTCTTTCCCCAACCTCTGCTTCCCAAATGACGCACCTAGATCTCTCTTGCCACAGAAGTCGACTCCTCTCACAGTTTAAAACCCTAAAATCCATTCGAACCCATTACCTAAACAAAGAACATCACAAAAATTAGATGAACTGGAAAAAAAAAACCAACGAAATCCACATCTTTTTAAACGCAACAAAAGAAAACCCTTTCATAATAAAATCCATTCGAACCCAATACCCAAACAAAGAACATCACAAAAATTAACCAATGTACTGAAAAAAACCAACGAAGTCTAGATCTCTTTAAACGCAACAGAAGAAAACCCGTTCTGCAAACCAACATAAAAATCTGCAAAGGAAAACAAAAATCTAAAAGAAAATCACGCACCACAGAGTTATCAGAAGAAGGAAGCACCTGCGACGTTCTGAAAACCACGGCTGAGAAGAACAAAACACAAAAGCGCGCCAAAGAGAAGCACACAACGGGAACCAAAAGAAAAGAGAAGCTGAGAGCGATAGAAAACCACCAATGCAAGTGAGAAACGGAAACAAAAAGCAAGCAAAACAAACCCCAAAAGAGAATAGCACGATGACCGACACGTGTCACACATAATTCCCAACTTGTCCCTGCACGAACCACCAAAAACAATCAGAAGGCATGAAAAAGCCGAAGGGCAATTCAGCCACTGGAAAAGCACCCACCTAGTGCGGGCAAAGTAGGAATTTTACTATAGAAAAGGAAGAAACCAACGCCAAAACCTAAACAAACCAAGGGCAGATCCGTCCGGACACTATTGCTAAACAGTGCCAAGCTCAACTGTCTTTTAGTATATATAATATGTTTTTAAAAATCTAAAAATATATCAAATTTGATTTATTTATGCTTCTAACGTGATATATATATATATATATATATATATATTTATTTATTTATGTCATCTTCTGTCACAACTATTCTACAATCTTTTCGTGTCATTTCTTTGCTGTCAGTTGATACTCTTCCGTCCTCCTTTGTGAGTCATGTTCATTTCCCTTCTATTTTCATTTTATGCAAACCTCTTGATTTGAGTATTCGTACCATAGTACATTTGGAAAATAGATTCTAGTGGTGGATGATATGAGGTATGTTTCCATTTAGTATTGGTATGTTTCTAGCCGATGTGTCGGTACGTTTTAAGTTGGCATGGGTATATTTCGTATCAGCATCAGTACTTTCAATTTGGCATGGGTACATTTCTAGACGATATATTGGTACATTTCAAGTTGGCATGGGTACATCTCACATCAGCATTGGTATGTTTCAATTTGGCATCGGTACGTTTCAAGTCATATTGGTACATTTCAACATGGCATGAGTACAATTCAAATTAGAAATTAATATATTTAAATTTGGTTTCAATTTAAAATTCACCTTCATATATCTCATGCCGAATGACATTAATCTCATTCCTACTAATCCCTTTTGTTAACAACTTTTAAGCAAATTATATTGTGCTACAATATTTCAAAATCACTTGTTTTCTGTTACATACTACACAACCAACCACGCAATCAAACTAGAACTCAACAAGATAAATGTAGCGTCCATGGTGTTTTCATCATATTGGATTGGCTATCTAAATTTTTTCTACAAATGTAAGCTTTTTCCGTGATCAATGAAGTTTTATTATAGAAAAATAAATGCTGAAAATTCAAAAATTAAGGGATAATATTGATGATTTAATAGTTGATATCTATTAATTATCCAACATCCCTTAAAAAGGTGCATAGATTCTGACATGCCAAAAAACCTCTATTAACTAAAAGGCTTTTTAGCCAAAATGGTCTCTGAGATTTGCATAATACATCATTTTGGTCCCTGAGATTGAAAACCAATATAAATGGTCCCTGAGATTGTCCACCATCCATTATTTTGGTCTTTCTGTTAAAATCTTCGTTAAGTGTCCTGGAGCTCTTGGCCGAAAGTTTGGGCAATTTTCAAAGCTTCATAACTTCATCGTTTCTTAACCAAATTCGACCCATAATATATCAAAATGAAGATAGGAACGTGTAGAACAAGATTATACCATTTGGAAGCTAATAATTGCTGGAGATGGCCAGAAAATAGCCTGAAAGGTAACTGGTCCGTGGGAAAATTGGAAAGCTCACCAGAAACTGAGTAAATTTTAAATATTCATAACTTCTTCAATACTCAACGAAATCGAGTAATTTAAAAATGAAAATCATACTTCTCAACGAGATGAAGAGAATGGTACCTTTCTTGACAGCTAACTCATCATGGTTTGTCCGGAAAACAGCTCAAAAGTGGCTGTCTTGTCTCGAGTTAGCTACTTTCGAGCCATTTTTTGGCCAAACCACTGAGAATTAGCCATAGAGAAATATACCATTATCTTCTTCTCATTAAGAAATATGATTTTCATTTTTGAATCACTCGATTTTGTTGAGTATTGAAGAAGTTATGAATGTTTAGAGTTTACCCAGTTTTCGGTGAGTTTTTCAATTTTCCCGCTGACCAGTCACCTTTCAGGCTATTTTCCGGCCATCTCCAGCAACTATTGGGCTTCCAAATGAGTATAATCTTGTTCTAAACTTTCATATCTTCATTTTGATATTTTATAGGTCGAATTTGGTTAAGAAACGATTGAGTTACGAAGCTTTGAAAATTGCCTAAACTTCTAGCCAAGAGCTACGGGACACTTAACGGAAAGATCAAAATAATGGATGGTGGACAATCTTAAAGACCATTTATATTGATTTTCAATCTCAATGACCAAATTCATGTGTTATGCAAATCTCATGGACCATTTTGGCTAAAAAACCTAACTAAAAAGATTAAGTGGGAAGTCATCATATAACATTTTTCATTTAGGAAAAAAAATAATTTAAATAAATTTAAAATGCTTAGGTGGCCACTAGTCAAAGCGCTTTAATCAAATCTTCGAAAGACACAAATGTTTAGTAAAAAAATTGTAGAAACGGAGTGGGGCATTCTAATTATATGTATATATGGATTCAAGAAGTTTCCAATATGAATGCCACCATTTATTAGAATGTGTATATCCCCAACAACAACAAGAAAATGTACATCAACTTTTACTTTCTACAGTCAACATTGTGGATACAAATTTCTGCCTTTTTCTTCTTGGACGAAATTACATCTGCAAAACAATTAATACCTAAGGTCAAAGCCAAGAGCCTCACTCACCCACGATGACTTGAGAGGGGGGGCTTTGGCAGAAGAACCTTCGATGCCAAAGTTAGAATTTGAGAGAAAAAATGTTTAGAGAATTTTAGGAGAAGAATGAACTTGGTTTTTTGGAGAAATGGGGAGCTGTATATAGGGTTGTGGCCGGCCCTTATTCGGAGAAAAGGGGTCCGGCCACTTATGGTGGTTTTTGGCTCTAATTGTAAGATATTATGTCAAAATAATATCTTGCACTCAATTAGAAAATTAAGTAATTAATCCTAATTTGAAGAGAATAAATAGGGGTTACCTTGTGGGGAGGATTTGATGAGGATTGATGAAATAGGTTTTGAATAAATATCTATTTTGATCATTTTTTACCTTGATTGAGCCGTTATTGTCCGCTGCTTGCGTGTGGGAATCCCGGTGTGCCTCGAGGGTAGTTTTATCATTTTTACCCAAAAGTCCATGTGTCGCCTCCATAATTTTCTTGATTATTTTTGGCTTCACAAATGCCTCCACACCTACTGGCCTACTTGTAGGAAAGGGCAGTAGGTGTAGAGATCTCCAACTTTGATGCAGATTCCCACTTGGACTTGAAATTAGATTCTTCTAGGAAGGGGAAATAAATCACCTATGAAGCTTATTTAAGCCTACCTTAAGTAGGAGATTAAATCAATTTCGAAGGGCAATTATTTATCCCTAAAAGAAAGAGAGAAAGTTAGAGGATATTTGTTCCCCTTCTCCTAACTCTCTTCTTTGCTTGTCCGTGCAAAGAACTGTCTTCCGTTGATTTTTTTATTCTGCTCTGCGCCGCATCGATGTAAGAAAATTTTAAATTTCTTTGTCTTCTTCTTAGGTGGTGCTGTCACGGGGCAACCGTCAAGGTGGTATGGTTCGTCGGCTGGTAAAGGCCAAGAGTCGGCTTGGCACTGGCCGAGGAGGTAGTGTGGCAAGGGCCACAGCTTGTGCTACTCGGCTTGACTGAAGCCAAAGGCTGGCCCAGCATGGGTCGAGGAAATGGCGTGGCATAGGCCATAGTTTGGGCTGCGAAGTCTAGGCTATTTGCCAAGAATAAGGAAACTACTTGAGTTTGATTTCTCAGCTACCGTAGATAGAGCAATCAAGGACGGAGCTGCCAAGATCGCAGCTACTAAAGATGAAGTGTCGGATGAGCAAACTGTTGAGTGTAAAGTGATTGCTGGAGAGCAAACCCAGATGGGTGTCGGGGAATTAGTTTACCCTATCGCACTGGATTAGTTTATCCTCTCGCACTAGAGAGCAGACCCATATAGGTGTCGAGGAATTAGTTTACCCTCTCATATTAGATAGAAATTAGTTTATTCTCTCGCACTAGAGAGCAAACCCGAATGGGTGTTGGGGAATTAGTTTACCCTCTCGCACTGGAAAGCAATAAGTTTATCTTCTCACACTGGAGAGCAAACCCGAATGGGTGTTGGGGAATTAGTTTACCCTCTCGTACTGGAGAACAATTAGTTTATCCTCCTCTCGCACTGGAGAGCAATTAGTTTATCCTTTCACACTGGAGAGCAGACCAGGATGTGTCGGGGAATTAGTTTACCATCTCGCACTGGAGAGTAATTAGTTTATACTCTCGCACTAGAGAGCAGACCCATATAGGTGTCGAGTAATTGGTTTACCCTCTTACACTGAAGTGCAATTAGTTTACTTTCTCGCACTGAAGAGCTTACCTAGATGGGTGTCAGGGGATTGGTTTTCCCTCTCGCACTGGAAAGTATGGAAGTCGTTATCGTGAGTCCAGCTGAGGAAACAACTGAAATAATCCTTAGCCTACGAGGTCTTGTTTGGCGATTGCTTGAGACTTCGAACTGCTTGTGGAATCCGTGTAAGTGTGTAAGCATGAAGCACAGTAAGCTATTCTTGGACTTTCTCCAAGTATTGCACAATCCTTGAATGTTTCATCGTGTGTTCTTCTGAGGCTTGGTCAACTGAGAATCTAAGTGGATTGCAAGTTTCTCCACTGCTAAGTCTTTTGCCAGCAAAGGCTGCTAGTAAGGCTTCGTATTCTGCTTCGTTGTGTATTGAAAAAGTTATGAACGTTTAAAGTTTACCCAGTTTCCGACGAGTTTTCCAATTTTTTCGCAGACAAGTCACTTTTCAGGCTATTTTCCGGCCATCTTCGGCAACCATTGAGTTTACAAATATGTATAATCTTATTCTACACTTTCCTATCTTCATTTTGATATATTATGGGTCGAATTTGGTTAAGAAGCGATTGAGTTACAAAGCTTTGAAAATTGCATAAACTTCTGGCCAAGAGCTCCGAGACACTTAACGGAGTTTTTAACGGAATGACCAAAATAATGGATGGTGGACAGTCACAGGGACCATTTCTATTGATTTTCAATCTCAGGGACTAAATTGATGTGTTATGCAAATGTCAAAGATCATTTTGGCTAAAAAGCCGTTTAATAAAAACCAATGCTATAACTTTATTAATGAAAAAGAATTCAATATTATTGAAAAACCCTTAAATTTTAATAAAAATGACAAAAGAACTTAAATTTTTATTGAAAATGACACAAT